TCGCGTGGGGCGGCGTGCGGCGAGCGGGTGGACGTCCGTGAGGAAGCGCGCGGGACGGACACGGTGGCCCCGCAGCGTTCCCCTGGGCGCTGGGAGCCCGCCGTGGCGTCCCGCGCTCCGTCGCCCTCGCTCCGCACCCGGTGTTTCGCATCCGAGTCCAGGGCGCGAGCCTGGGGCCCTGCCCGGGAGGGCCGTGGACCGGGAGCGGCGCGCTCCCTGTGCGCTGCGGGGCGCGCAGGTTAGACGCCAGGGTCCCCGGAAGGGAGTGGGCCAGATGGACAGGTGCGGACACCAGGTTCCTCCAGGAGCGGCCCAGATGGGCAGGTGTCGCCGCCAGGGTCCTTCGGAAGGGAGTGGCCCACGTGGGCAGCTGCAGACACCTGGTCCGTGCTTGTTAACCTCTCTTTATAAAGTGGAATTTCTTTAGAGAAAGACCACATCTGATCACAAACAACACCTATTTAGAAAGAACAAGAAAGTACCAAGAGAAAGTAAAAATCACCTAGATGATGGAACGCATAATGAAGGAGCGTTTATATTATATTTTCTCGTCCTCTTCCGCCCACCCATCATTCTCCCTCTCTGCCCACACTGTCTCAGTGCCTCCCGTCCTGGTAGATGAACCTTGAAGTCGCCCTTGATTGTTTCCTTGGGATAAATTCCCACAGGAGGAGTTGAAGGGTCGAAGGCTGTGCCCACTTTGAGGCTTTCCGAACGTGGACGAGGCAAAGTGTGCCTTCTACACAAACATCTCCAACCCTTAACCCACATTGGGGATAATCTTATTTCTTTTTAAAAATGCCCATTTTGTTGTCAGGAATGGAGATCTTTGGTTTTATTCACTTCTTTGATGACCAGGAAGGATAATTTTTCTCACATAAATTATCGTGACTATTTGAACTTTGTGTTTGACTTCATTGGCCTTTTGTCCAGTTTTTTCACTTGATGTTCATCTTTGTGAAGAATGATTTGTTAGAATTTTTGATATTCTCTGAAACTCAGGTCTGTGACGTGGCAAGTAGTTCCTCCAGTTCGTCAATTACTTTTTAACCAGTTTCCCATTTAGAAAAAAAGTCACAGCCCGCTGCCAGAGTTAATTCAATTTTACACAAGCTCTCTTTGAGGCTGAAGCAAATCTGACTGGTTTTTAATGTGAAAATAAAATATAACAAGTTCTTGGAGTTATTTCTAAACAGAACTTGTCTCTAACCCTAGTGTAACAAATTTATATGATGATCAGTATTTAATAAGTTTTTTCATGTGAATTTCAAAGCATGGAACAGCACAGAGTGGAACATCACATTCTACACAAAAATTCTCTTCAGATTGTCCTTCCATCTTTGTTGTGTGAGCAGTAAATTTCGCAGTGACGGGTTGGATTCTGTTTTGCTCATGCTGGTGGTGTGCTCTTGGGTAAAGGTCTTCCAGGCAGGCAAAGAGGTGTGACATCATCAGAGCACAGACGACCTCGAGGACGTCGCTGCCCTGGTTTGTGATGCTTTTCCAGCATTCTTTCAGTCAACGCCAGTCTGAAGTTTACATGGCTGATGGTGTGCTCAGGATGGTCCTTTTTGAACAGGAGGTACGAGTTCAGCCCTGTAATGTTTAGAAGGTGGCGAAAGAATTTCTTATCCCAAAACTTGTGCTTTTTGCACTCGGTTGATAAGAAGTGAGCAGCCGATCAGAGTCCACTGCTCCCACATTCTCGTTATAATCCACAAGGACACGTGGCTTCTTAGCTTCCACTTCTATTGTCTACTTCGGTCACAGTATCATTGTGGAATGGTGACAACATTGTCCCCTCCTTCTCATACCATGTCAGCGCCTTAAGTTCACCACAGCACCTGGCTACAGTCGTCCCCTTTGCAATTCTTTTCTCAGATCATTTGGCGTCTATTTCTGTTGAAACGAGCTGTCCCGATTGCGTCAGTCCTGTTCTGAGGTCATTCTCCGAGCATGGGAGACGTCTGGCAAACTTTAGGAGTGAGGTCAGGACTAATCTGCGAGTTATCTCGGATTAAATGCTGCAGCCACAAGTGCCGCCAGCGAGTATGCTGGGGGCAAATGGGTTAAATTTTGTTTACAACGTAAAGTCAAATTTATTGCATTTTCCCATTATGATTTTTTTTTTTTGCATTGGTTTTTATGTAATGGGGCCAGTGTGCATTTCCAAGCAGACTGTTTCATTCCAGCCTTGTCAGGGTGGGTGGGACAAGGCTTTCCCCCCGCTCCCCGTGTGATTAGCACCCACCCTCCATGTCGTGGGCTTTGTGTTCCTACAACCTTAGATGGCGGGTTATCCTTATCAGATGGGCCGTGGTGGTTTCTGTTCTTGGGGAGCATCTCAGGCAGACATACCTTGGACAGGTGTCACCCGAGAATTGCCATTTGTGGAAGGGTGGCTGGTTGGTCCTCCCTGGAGAGGAACAGCAGCAGCAGTTTATCGTGATGGGTCCATCCCAGGCCTGGCTCTCGGGACTGAAGATGGCAGGTCCTCAGAGCTTCCTTTCCCATCCGAATGGCCCCCCTCTTTTTGGCTAGCTTTCCCCCTCGATAGCCTTTGTTTCTGCCCTTGAAAGGGGTGCCTCCTTCTCATACGGGAGTGGGGCAGGCCCTTGAGCTGCAAAGTTGAAGAACCGCCATTTGGTTACTGAGGCGGCCACCTGAATCACGCTACGCACGAAACATGCACTTATTTCTCTGCGTTAGTTTCACCGTACCAATCGCCACAAACCTGGTGGCTTAAAACAACAGAGATTTATTCTCTCGCAGTTCTGGAGGCCGGAAGTCTGAAGTCAAGGGCCATGCTCCCTCTTAGGGAGAAGCCTTCCTTTCCTCTTCCAGCTCCTGGTGGCTCCTGGTGTTCCTCGACCTACGGCAGCATCACCCCGATCTCTGCCCCTGTGTTCACGTGGTGTTTTCCTCTGTCTCTCTGCGTGTCTCTTCTTACAAGGACACCTCGAGATCCTCAACTAATTTCATCTACCGAGACCCTGTTTCTAAATAAGGTCGCATTCTGAGATTTGGGGTAAATGTGTATTTTTGGGGGACACTATTCAACTCTGCAGCTACTTGTGGTGGTCACCACTGTCATCCTACATAATAAAAATATGCCTTCATTTCTTGTTTTAGGACCCATGAAGTTACATAAACCAAAACATAGCATCTGGTATCATTTTTCATAAGATCGTCCGAGGATCTCTGAAGTTTGGAGCCGCTACTTCATACTTCTGTCCTTAAAATTAGGTCACACCCTCCTTTCACAATGGACATGCTTATCAAATCAGCCCCACGTACACTGTAAATATTTTACAGTTTTGTTAATTATACCCCAGTAAAGCTGGAAGAAAGAAAATTCTGTTAAAAAGTTGGGTCAAATATAAAAATATTATTATTTGACTCAAACTTTAGGGAATGTGAAATGATTAGCTTCTGCATCTCTAATAGATTGAACAGCCTGCTTATTTCTGAAGTGAATTTTCTAAGTCAGATTTTTTGAGCTTAATTTAAGACTCATTTAGAATGTTTGTTATTCCTATTAATTACCTTGAAACTCATCGATGTCCCTGTAATGAGAGCTCTTTCAGCTAGTTTTCAGATTTCTAATTTGTACATTTTCATGGCATTGTGAAAAGGATAAAGTTCTAAAAATAATTCATAGAGAAGAAAGGGAACATTAGGAATTCGAGGGTAGCAGACCTGGACTTTTTCTGGTGTGATGTGGGTTGAGTTCGTCTTGGCTACACTGTTCTCTGTCCCCAATACCTGCTGGGGGCAGGGTAACAGTGGACCCCAGTGTTGAGGAGGTCGTGCAGATTCAGGCAGTGGTTTTGTGCGAAGCATGTAGAGTAGGTCCGGCATGGGGCGAACACCTAAAAATTGTTAGCTATTGTATCAGAAAATTTATTTCTCCCCAGGGCGTGCAGATGAAGGGGGTGTCATCCTTGAAGGCAGTTGGACCTTATGTGATGGGGGGATGTGTCGTGTCTAGGGCAGGTGAGAAATCCAGCTACAGTTTATGTTACTCATTTACAAAGTCATTAAGACATCTGCATCACTTATTACTTTGTTAATATTTGAAGAAAACATGCTCGTGACAGATTTTAAGACTAAGGTGTTGAAAAAATAGAACATACTGTAGAAATCTTGAAGATACTGAAAACAAGAAAGATAAAAACAACCTATAATCTTTGGTGGGCTTTAAAATAAAATTTATATTTTAGTAAAACATATTAATAAAATTACTTATTTTGGGGGACAGTATTCAACTCAGTGCAGTTACTGTGGTGGTCATCACTCTTTTTACATAGTAAAAATATGCCGTTATTTCTCGTTTTAGGTTACCCATAAAGTTACGTCAGCCTAAACGTAAAGTAAATTTGGGGAAACGTGTTCACTAAGGGCTTACTTTGGGGAGTAGTTAACTTTTCACGTTGAGGGTCCAACCTACATTGTGCTGGAGTCATCGCAATCATTCGTCCTGATGTTAATGAATTTGAGTGACATTCCAGGACACCCTAGGGAGCAGGCCTCCAAGTATCTGGGAGGGGCATAAGCCAAGGAACCTCTGACTGCTCCAGGAGGCCAGTGCCACCTCCCTGTGAGAAGCCGGGGACTTTAAAAATAGGAGAGAGTTATCTAAGAGGACTGAATATTCTCCAGGGGGCCTTTACCCTAATGCCCTTGATCTTGATGTTGAAACTCATCAGAAGAGTTGGGCCGCTAGCATTTGGGCTTCCTACTAGATTCCGAATTCCCCCAACTTTGAACACAATTCAGATTATCTGTATAAATAAGACGGATAGAGCCTGTTATACACAGATCATTCCGCCCCCCCTGCACCCCC